AGTATAACACATACAAGCAATATCTTAGAAAGACTCTCATCCCCCATCTCAGAGGAAAAAAATCCCTTAGGTGCCAAAAGAACGCAACTCGTAAGGTGTGCATCTAACTGGGCCACTCTGACACTCTGTGGATGCGCATCTTGGGGCGAATTCTGGGGCTTCACTGAACATCCCTTACATGTGCACAGTCCTCACTCATCTAAATAACCCTCTTGGCTTTCTTGCTGACATCTGCATGTTTGGAAGATGACTGGATCAGGACCAAAGCCTTCAGCACCTGCCTTACACCCCTCCTCCCTGCCTTCCAAAGTACTGAAAATCCAGACAAAATGAAATCGTGCTGGTGTTACCATGCGATGTTACAGTCATAAGCTGGGGTCAGGGCTCCAACCAAACAGGTGCGTGAACAACAGTCCCTATTCTACAGGAGTCCAAGACAGCAGGGTCTCTGTGGGGGTGCAGGTGCATCCCAGGAGAAGTTCAGAACATCAGTTAATGGCAGGAGATGACTTCCCTTTTAACTGATGGAAAGCCTTCAAAGCATAACAATGTACTTCCCCTTCCATTTTCAAATCATGGCCATGAGCTCTCCTTGCTTTGGGGAAGCTCACAGAGCTTTGCGCTTTCTCTTAGTTCTTGCTAGTTTTAAAAGGGTGAAGAGATCGAAGTTAATTTGACCAGACACACACACAAGCACAAACACCATCTCTCCTTTCCCCCAGAAATATTCAGCTCCCCAAGGAACAGAATCACACTAAGGCGAAAACTTATCCGTTTTTATTTTTTAAAGAAAAATATTCCTCTTTAAACACAAAGCATAAACTAAACACCTCTGAGGAGCAGCTGCTCCTCCCTTGGAGCGCATTTAACTAAACTGTACAATGTCAGAGCTCCCCAAACAAGTATACACACATGACATACAGTATTTCTTTCACAGGAAATAAGGTTTAGGACTCAAAATTCTCCTCCCCACCCTCTCTAGACACCCACTCCATCCAAAAGTACTCTGTGCCTTACTCCCACCACAGTACACAGTGATGATAATTTCTGGATGCAATGCATATTAAAAAAGAAAAAAAAAAGATTAAGTATAGACCAAATTGGCCCTTTCGAGCCTTCTAACAAACGTCTGTGAGAGAGGTTAAGACCATAGTTATTTCCAGGAATGGTGCTTGGAAGAACAAAAAATTACAGCAGCATCCACAGGCAACACAAGCCCTTGATTCCAGCTGCCCTGTTTTAAGGAACCCAGTCAGTTCCTCAGTGTTTTACAGATGTTCCCATCACCCAAGAGGGAGTGGGAACAGAACATTCACAGGACAAATTTGTTGCTTGAGCAGACAGCCTAAAATTCAGTGAATATGGCCTACGTATGCCAGCGATTAGGGTTTTTTCCACATTGCCACAGCGACCAATTTCATGTCTTAAGATTTTATGTAAAAAGATATGATGACCTACAGAAACCAGCAACTCGTTCTACCAATTCTCTCTATCCCATCAAATAAATAAGCGCATAATATTTGTCACATCTGCCAAACTACCCAGATGTCAGAACTGGAACCAGACTCCAAAATCCAAATTATTACTAATTCAGAACGGCAAAATCATCAAAAGTCTCTGCAAGGTTTCAGAACGTGCCTAACAACTCGTATCCAAAAGAAAAAGTACCTGGGCATTTTCAAGGGAAGGTAGGTAATGGAAAAGGTCTGGAAATGGAGCTCATTTATATCCTACCTGATCGTTAATTGTTGGTATTATTAAGTAATGCTCAAATCTTTATCAGACCATTTTGTAAAGATCTTTTCCATTCCATACACTCCAGCAGTTTTTACAGTAGGAAAAAATATTAGAAAAATAAAGTCTCTCCCCTGAACAACACTGTATGAAGATCATCAGTCACATAGATTTTTACAGGGGGACCAGATAATCTTTTGTTTCCTCCAAACCAGCCTCATACAGAAAACAGCAGCAAGATAGACACAGTATCTAAGAGCTAGATTAAGGCCAACAACAGAGACAAACGTGGGCTCAGATCTTTTGAAACGAAGAAACCCTCCAAATGTTTTTATACATATGCATGCACACACACACGTATACTCGTGTGTACTATCCAAGCGAAGGCTTCACAACTTGTGAAAGCACCACTGGAGAGTGTTCTAGCACCAGAATGAAAAAGTTTGTTGTCTTCCCTCTTCAGCAATAAAAACCAAAGTTTTTACATTGCTTTGGACAAGGTCACCAAATACCCGCCCAAGAACAGTTTCAGTGAGCAGATTTGGAAGTGCAGTGAGAGGTTAAACTGTTCCTGTTCCGGAATACGGGCAAGAAGAGGTGCGTTGAGAGGCTGCAGCTCCTTGGTTGCTGGAAAGGAGGAGAAAATTTGTATTGCAATCTGGTAGAGAGAGAGAGAGATCAACTTGGGCTCCAGGTGAGTGTGATGGTAAAACTCAGTGCAGACTGGGAGGTGAAAGTGGCAAGTTTGCATACATGAAGTCACAGTGCACATCTGTAGGTGTAATAACAAGCAAAGCCACAGTATTGTCTGGCAGGCTTGTCTCTGCATAGGAGGCCCCTGGGTATGCTGGAAGTCAGGACAAGGATCCGTGAGTGGGATGTCACACACTGCACCAGGACATCATCAAACAGCAGAGGTCTAAGCAGAAGCTTGTAAAGTTGGTCTGCTAGCATCTTGCCTATACACACAATCAAGTGAGCCTTGCAGAAGTCTACAAAAGGGACAAAAATCTCTTAACAGCAAGGTTACGGGTCTGGTTTGGTGACAAGCAACAATTTGTGCAAGTTGCGAAAGAATTAATCGTCAACCTCCAGCACCCTTTCCTGCTGCAGGTCTCTATCCTGGATCCAGGCCTTTGTACAGGAGGTGCCAGCTTGTGCAGCCCCTGACCAACACTCTGAAGAGGCTGAGAGCAAGCTGCACAGCCAGGAATGACATCTCCACAGCCCCTCAGATCAGCACGTGTGGACAGAGGCCTGTCCTCCGCCTGTGAGCCATGAGCAGGCTTTGCTAACAAGGGAGGATGGGGAGGAGCGGCTGGAAGTGGGCTGCTAAAACAACGCAGGAGGAAATGAAAGAGACAAAGACAGGCTTCATTTTTCAGTGCTTGAACCACCAGCAGTAAAGCCCCATTTACTCTGTCATATAGCATGCTGATTAGAGTCTGGCTATCACTCCCACGATGTACTAAATGAGGCTCTGTAGGAACTCAATTAAAACATGCAAGAAAAAAAATGAAGCGAAAGGAAGGGTGATCATCACTCTGACGTGTGAATTTCAGGTTCGGAGCAGAGAATTGTCAGCAGAGGCACGCTTTGTTTCTGTGCACATGCAAGAGTACAATAGAGGGAACAGCAGCAGAACTGAAAGGGAAGAAAAGACACAGTAAGCGTAACACTAATTCAAGATGCAAAGACAGGACAGTGGGGTGAGGGAAA